AGTTGTTAGGTAAATCTATGTAATTGCAAAAGTAATTTCAAGAATCTTAATAAAGTACTAGCATGACTGCTTAAGGGGAAAAAAAAAAAAAATTTTTATTTTTTACTAAAGTTATATTATTAACTATCTTGTTCTTACCTATAATATTAAACATCAATAATGCTAAAATTATAACTTAAATATGCTGCAAAAAAACATGTACTTACACAAAATAGAAATAATGATAAAAGATTTTCAAAAACCATATTTGAAGAAAATAGTGATTCTGAATATAGTAATTTAAAATATAGTAATTTAGAATATAGTAGTCCAGAACTTTTAATATATGAATTAGAGAATAGTAATGAGGAAAATTTTAGTAATGAGAAGATAGAACTTACCGAAGAAGAAGCTAAACAATTAATATATAAAAATAGTTTTTTTTATAATCTTTGATAGAATAAGAAAGTATCTGGTGATCAGTTACTATATTATTCTAGTGGTTTAAAACATACTTAGCAATGCAAAAATAAGAAATTACAGAAGGTGGCATAAGGATCAATAAGTTTGAATAATTTTTTAAACTAAAAAAAAATTGGAAATTAAAGATGAAATGTTAGATTTAGATATGAGTAATTTAGATATAGCAAATAATAGTTCTATTTCAAAACAATTAGATATATTAAATAATAGGCTTAAAGATGTAAAAAATATGAATGCTTATGAATATCTTTATTTTTTGGCTGTATATAAATACCTTACTACAATTTTTTATTATAAATAGTCATAATCACATGTAAAAGTAAGCTTTGAAATATCATAAGAGGTTTTTCAACACAGTCTATAGTTAGCACATCATATTTGTAAGTGGTCAAAAAGTTGAATAACCACTGGAACCTTATCAGTATATAGACAAGAACAACAAAAATATACACAAACTCTTATTGATAATGAGGATGTACAAAGCTCTTGTTTATATTTTATTCATATTATGGGTGAAAGAATAACTATTGAAAAATTTCAACAATATGTTCAAAACAATATATTGTCATATGTTATTAGTTTTAGCATCGCAATTTTATTAGAAACAGCTTGAACTTGGCTTCATCACCTTGGTCTTGTATACCAACAGCATTAACAAAGTATTTACTATGATAGACATGAATGTACTGATGTTGTATAATATCACTTAATATTTTTTGAAAAAATAAAAAACTTTGAATCTTTAATGCCACAATTTGTTGATGAAAATATGGACATAATTATTAATTCTGAAATAAATGAAAAACAAAGAATTAATATTTTTGTTACTCATAATAAGTATATATTCTATGCTAATAATAGTCATTCTTCTGTATAGGCCCTCCTTGGTATGCTGCCATTACATAAAAAAGGAATAGGTAAAGCTCTTATAGTTTCAGAATTTTTAACTGAGACCTGTGGTCACCTTACAATTACCCTTATAGAAATAAGTGAATTAAATTTGTCATCAACATTTTTACAAAAAGCTCAAGTAATTATTAAACCTAAAAAAAATAATAATGACTAGTGGAATGCTTCTGATTTGCTTATACTAGTAAATAATAAAGCTATTTCTATTTTTGAAGCAACTTATTCAAATTGTGTTGGTGTTTTTGTGTTTGATAATAGCACCAATCACAATGCTTTTGCAAGTGATGCATTATGTGTTAAACATATGAATCTTTATTCTAGTGATAAATAGTCAAAATTACATAACAATTAGTTTATCAATGCACAAAATAAACAAGTTATCTAGCTGATAATTTTTTTCTAAGAACCTCCTTCTTAATGATAATAATTATATTTTTATGATCAGCCAAAAAGTATTCGACAAGTGCTTCTTAAGTAAAACTTATAGCCTACTGATAGTTTGAGACTAAAATATAAAAATAACTATTATGATTCAAGTATACCTAATTGTTATGCATGTCATCTTTATCTATATAGCCTAATTTTATAATACAAAAATTAGCATTAGAAGAGCTTATTGTTAAATGAGAACATGTTTATATATTTTATCTTAAATTTTATTATAAGCTAAATTTTATTGAAAGATACTGAGATGCTGTAAAATATTATTTGCATAAGCATTGTGATTATTTATGAGCAGGATTACAAGTTACTGTATCTGAAGCACTTAATTTAGTATCACTCAGAACTATATGTCATTTTGCACAAAAGGCATGGCATTATATAGATGCTTATAGACATGGACTTACTGACTGAGTAGCAGAATATGCAGTATATAAGTATCATTCTCATAGGTGTATACCTAATGTTGTTAGTCGAAATTATTTTAAGCTCTGTAGAAATATTTCGACTTTCGACATTTAGCATGTCAAAACTCTAAATTAGTGACGAAAGTCTAAAATAGTGTTAAAAGTCTAAAATAGTATCAAAAGTCTAAAATAATGTTGAAATATCTAAATAGTGTCGAAATGTCTAAATAGTGTCGAAATGTCTAAATAGTGTCGAAATGTCTAAATAATATTGAAATATCTAAATAGTGTCGAAATATCTAAATAGTGTCAAAACATCTAAATAGTGCCAAAATGCCTAATGCTAAATAGTGTTGAAATGTCGAAATGCCAAAATGAGTAACAAAAAGAAAAAACCTGTAAATCATACTCATCTTTATAGCTCAATTTTAGGTTTGTGCACTTTAATGTTTTTGATTGATCATTACATGTTAAGCTATTCGAGTGATTTGATAAATTGGATTATCGTTATATCATGATGTGCAGTTATAATAGAACAAAGTGAAACCTGAGTTGCGAAATAGTGAAATCCACTTTGTAGATTGGGTTAGGGTGAAATCTGCATTTTATTATGTTTTTTATTATATAAAAGCGGATTTCACACTCATGTGATGATCATAGCGAATTTCACTATTTCGCAACTCAGGTTTCACCCTGTCATATTATAATTACCAATCCAAAATTGTTATAATCGTGAGATATTCTTTTGCTATTTTACAAAATGATGTATCAGACCAAATTTTGCAGGTCACAGACCACTTGAACAGTAGGCCTACTGAATAATTGATTGTGAGAGAGAGAAATTAATTAATTGATTGATGGTGCAGCCACAATAAGTCAATTAATTGCAATTTTGAGTGTAATGAATCATCAAATAATAAGATTAATTAGTAAATTCTTATTTGCCATTCACAATGTTTCATTACAATGACAATTATCACGATTTGCAAAATTATTGTCTCAAGGGGGTTATGATTATCACTCAACAATCGCAATTGCAATTACAATCGTTCTAAAGTTTGTGCGAAAATATCTTGAAAACCACCTGATTAATTTTTTTATTTGAATTCTATGAATCCATAGAATTCAATAAAAAATTTTTATTGAAATTAATCAAGTGGTTGTCAGGATATCTTCACACAAACTTTAAAATGATTGTAATTGCAATTGCGATTGTTGAGTGATGATCATCACCTCCTTGAGACAATAATTTTGCAAATCGCAATAATTGCAATTATTTACAATTATTTTTATTACTAATTGGTTACGACAACAATTACAATCAATTATAATTGCACCAGACAATTTTAGGCCAGCACTTTTGTGTCATGCCCAAAAATAAAGTTTGTTTTTATATAAGTTTGAGCCATTGTTTATGTAAGGTAATTCAAAAGTGCCAACAAAAAATTTATAGGCATGAACTGAGAATAGTTACGGGCACAAAGTGCCAGGAATGAAAATATCAGGTACGAGGCACATGTCAGATCAGATATGCAGAGTCCTAATTATTTTATTCAAAATCTGAAGCCCAGAAACTTCTATTATTTCATTTTATAAAATGCGTCTTTATGTACTGTATTAAATATATTTCTTGTACTTTATACCATATTACCTTTTTATAGAATGATCGGTCATTGATTAAACAATAATATGAGCCAAATATTAAAATCTTTATTTATTTTAAAAGTTTATTTAAAAACAATTTAATTTAAAAACAAAATAATACTTGCTATTAATAATCTAAGAAAAGCTATTGTATACTATACACTAATTCTTCAACCTCTGCACCAAATTTGTTTTCATCAAATTCTTCACTAACGAATTCTTCTTCATCAAGTTCTTCATTATTTCTATCTATGTTCTCATTATCAGCATCTGGCTCTACCTTATTTAATTCTATAAAATTTTCGAGTGCTAAGTCTTGGTGTTCAATTTCAGGATCAGAAAAATTTGTAAATTCGCTTAAATTATCTAAATTATCATTATTCTCTTCATTAACTTCAGAGAATAAATCAATATCTTGAAAAACAGTTTGTAGTTCTCTTTCTGTTAATTCCAATTCATAATAATGTAGTTCTTGTTTAGCATTTGACATTAAATAAGAACTTATTTTTACCATTGACTCAAGATTCTTCATTCCTAAATTAGTACGTCGGTCTTCTGAAAACCATTCACAATGTGACCACACATGCTCACAACTTGCAACATGAGGACGTACTGAAAATAATTTAATTGCTAAAGAAGAAAGTGCACCTGGTTTGGTTTCAATCCCATCTCCAGTAGTTTTCCACCATCGAACTGGACTATCAATAGTTGATACATAAGATCCATTATAAGGCTCCTCATTGCAAGCATATTGGTGTAATTGTGCTTTTAACATTTCTAGACCACCCTTTTTAGTATTAGACTTCATTTTAATCCATAAGTGGCCTGCAATTCCAGCTATACAAACAAATTGCGATTGTTTAATTCTGGCACCTACAATTTTTAAAAAATAAGTTTTAAAAAATTTTCTAAAATAAACATTAAATTAAATACAAACCTCGATACTGAGGATGTAAATAGTATGCCAATAAATATTCATCATAGTCAAATGTATTAAATCTTTCATTAAAAATTGAAATACATTTTCGATAGAACATTAAATGGTGATCTTGAAAAATATTTTTAATGGCGATGGCTAGTTTAAGATAACCTAAATAACAGTCAGCTAAGTTAGCCATTTTGCTTTCAAGACATGTAATCATATCTTTAATTAGCTTTAAAACTTTAGAGAGGTCTAAAACATTATCAAAAAATCCACAAGACTTTAAAAATGTTTTAATAATTTTTCCAGTCTTGTTATTGAATAAATGTGAGTTTTGATCTAAAATCTGTGTTAATTAAAATTATTAAAATATAAATAACGATAATAAAATTATATATTTAAAATGTAAATATATATACTTCTTCTAAAGCTGTTTTATAACAATATACCGAATATACACATTCGTATGCACTAGTCCAACGAGTCTTCATATAAGTTTTTAATCCGCCACCATATATATTTTTGTTTATAATCAATGAATGTAATTGATGTGACAAATTAAAAAACTTTACAATTGCAGCACATTGATAAAGAATTTTTTTTGCGAAACTGCATTTTAAAATATCATTAGAAATTAGATTCATGCAATGTAAAACACATTGCAAGTTTAAAATATGTGAGTACTGATCAGAGATTAATTTTCATGCAAGTATACAGTTAGAACCCCCATCAGTTACTATTGCTCCGAATTTATCTACTCCAAGTTCATCAAAAATTTTTTGAATACAATTTTGTAAGGTTTCTCCAGTATGACTTTGATCGGATAGATCAAGTATTTTTCAAAGGTATTCTCGTCCAGTAGAACTGTGAATGACAAAGTTCCAATATGACTTTTTATTCGGTCCTGTCCACCCATCTAAGCCTATATTAAAAAATATACATATAAATAATTAATGATAGTTCTATTACTGCATTTTTCAAATTACTGTAACCGCATTATACACTACAAAAGAATCTGGGAAATTTTAAAAATGCAATTAAAAAATTAGACTATTATAATCAATTTTTATTTTATTAAAGTTGAATATCATCTATGTATTTTCAAACTTTGAGCGAAAATATCTCAATAATAGATTCTTTTACTCAAAATTTATGAAAGTATTGTTGTTTAATCAGCCAACTGAAATATCTAATAGAATAATAAATGTTATATTAGGAAATTAATATTCTGATCTTTGTGATAAATGATTATTAAGTGGTTACAGTAGTTTGGAAAGCACAGTAAACTAAAATAAATTATTTTATTAACCCCCCCCAATCACGAGAGGATTAATTAATAATACCCTGACCATATGTGAATAAGTGAAAACTTCATCTCTGCTAATTCCCAATGGATCAGGATATTATTATTACAAACATACCAAGAGTCAAATTGCTTGCTTTTTCTAAAATATTCATAATACTTTGATTAACTTTAATTATTTCTGCATTTAATAATCGTCTAGCAAATAATTGTTTCGATGGAGGTTGATAACCAGGTCGCAATTCTCATAACGCATCAATAAAATATGGATTGCTAATAATATGAAAAGGTATATTACATACTATAAATGCTTTTATTAAAGCTAAATTGATATTATTTTCATATTGTGGAGTTAGCTCAGTACTTTCTAAAAATTTAGATAATAATGTTTGACCACTTGTAAGCTTGCGTTTTCTTTTGCTTAAATTAGTACCAGGTATAATCTCTTGAGATAATGCTTGACTTTGACCTTGTCGATTAGCAACAACTTGAGTGTAAAAATCTATAATATCTTTATCTTGGTTTGGGCAATTTAAAGCTAAATGCTCCTCAAGATCCACAGGTTTCGCACGTGCCCAAAATGTTCCACATACATTACA